TATTGCATTGCTAATTGTTTAACTACAGCTCCTTTTTCCAGCTGATTGATAATTTCAAGTTTCTGTTGAATACTTAACACAACACGCTTCCTTTTAAACCCCGACATTTTGCTAACGCACTTGAAGATCTATATTAAGAAACTGATACTTACTTTCACAATGCACTCTCACACTGAGATGGTACCGTTAAATAACCTGGGGCGGTGTATTTGTCCTTGAAACTTTCCAAAAATTCTTGCATTCTTTCACCCCCACCCTAGAACATTGTGTTCGCATAACGGGACGAAATAATGCAGAGCTCGGTTCACACTAGTGCGAAAATAGTGTTAAACTCACCATGTGAAACAAAAGTGAATGAATATTAAACAACATATAAACTTAAAAAAAAAAGCCCCGGTTAAGCCGCAAACCGGTTAATCCGCCCCCGGATAATCGAGAGTTGACTGTATATGTATATGATCTGGAGCTTGGGTGCTCAGCCACGTCTATATGGAAACGGTATCCACCATATCAGGGACTATCTGTCTCCATCATCAGGGGGTTACTGTGATAAGCGTTGTGTTTGCTTACTATATTCATACAGAGCCCTCATGTGCCCTAGCCTGGATCACATTGGGAATGACAAGCAGCGCAAGATGGTCAAATGTGTGTTGTGTTCACACACTACGCTTATTTGTAAAGCTCTTGTCTATCCCAGTCCTGACTGTGGGGAAGGAGGGTGAGTCAGGTGGACCATCTGAGTCTGTCTACCATTCTCCATGCTGTCTGGGCTGGGACAGAGAAGAGCTTCATATATAAACATAGCACATGAACATAACACACATCATATCAATCCTTGAGGATGGAAGCAGATAAAGTCTCTGAAATGTCAGACCCCAACTCCACACTGACACTGCTGAGGCTCTTATACAGAGCAAATTATTGGGCATGAAATTTATTGTGGAATTCTAACTCCACAGAGTATCTAGTTTACTGAACTTTCAACTTAATATGGACAATTTTAAGGCTGGTGTAATTTAAAACACGATTATGAGGAGGAACTGCAAATGTCTTTTCAGATACTCCATACATCTACTAGTAGCAGGGTTCCATCAATTCCGTTTGCTATTAAACTGCTGCCATTAAATTGATATTAAAAATACACTGAAATAGAGAAAAATGAACTCCGTGGCAACTTGTACTTTTATTTTAACTATGAATCAGGTGATCTACACATTTTATATGTAGAAATGTGTCTTCTACATATAATCATCTTTATCTTATTCAATTTTAAAATCATTTTATGAATAAAGTGGTAAGAGGCATGTTTTCTGTGATTACTTTGGTTTCCCCAGCCAATTTTCAATCCACTAAGTGTTCATTAATTGTCCTACCATTGATGTTATACAGTCTCAATATTCACAGTGTCCTTAAACAGTGAACTTTAAAAAAAAAAACACTACTTCCAACATATTAATTTAAAAGATTTCAACCAGGATTTTACTAACTGAAATAGAAAAGCCATGTTTATTACCACAAGGAATTCTAAATTAACTATAAATCCTTCCTGGGTTACACAAGACTCAACTTCCAGAAATCTTATTTTACAATACAAACATCTGACAATAAATTAAGTGGCATCCAGAAATTCGGTGGAGTATGCGTACAGTCTACATTTGTATTGCACTGTTAGGTATATGCCAATGTTAGATTACTTGTACTGTCAACTGTAATGTCGTGTTTCATTCCACGCTCCACCAACCCCTTCTTCTTGCTTTCACACCTCCATCTATACCCCACCTTACTCCCCTTCTACTCCCTTCCCCCCAAACTTGTCCTGGCATCCTCTGTCCCTTCCTTGGTATGCCATTCTATAACTCCCAGCAGTGCAGCTCACATCATGTCTCGGCCCAAATTCCTTTGTATTTATTTGGCTCCGGAATTTGCTTTGCTGTTTACCCACCCTACTCGACTCCGCTCGATTTCAGTGCGTAGAATTATTATTATCACATGATGGGGTGACTATACTAGATGGGTTTTGGTGCACTCATGACTATGCTTTATAGATCAGTATCATACACAGACTAGTGTTCTCTGTCATGGTCTTCACTGAGCTGCTTGGTAGCGGCTTCCAACAACAGCCACTCCCCTTCCTCTGGGTTCCCAACCTGCCCCCAGCCTCAGCTACCAGCTTCTCGCTCGACTGTCTGTCTGCTACAGTCTCTCTCTAAGATTCACTTGGACCCCTCGTTATACAGACTCAGCATGGACCGCACAGAAAACACCGCTTCCAACAGCTCTTCTACTGCTGTGTGCATATCTGTTGTAGCCTTCATGTGACAGTGACTGTGCCACTGCCTAGCAACAGGTGTGTTTACAGAGCCGTTCCCTAGTAACAGCCATCTCTGCTGGCATCACAATTCTGGCTTTCAGCAAACATGCCACATTACTACTTCCCCTGGACTGCTTCTTGTATTATGATTATGATCATTATTATTATTGTTGTTTCATAACTTGTATAACTTGTACTTGTCTCCAATTAGAATGATCAAGGAGGATGAGGTAGACTGGGAATGTAGCATGAATGGGGGCGATGAGGAATGCATATAGGATATTGGTGGGAAAGCCAGAAGGAAAGAGACCACCAGGAAGACCAAGGCATAGGTGGGTGGACAATATTAAAATGGATCTCAGATATGTAGGATGGGATTATATGGATTGGATTGATGTGGCTCAGGATAGGGACCAGTGGAGGGCACTTGTGAACATGGTAATGAACCTTCATGTTCCATAAAATGCTGGGAAATTCTTGAGTAGCTGCAGAATAATAATTATTATTATTAATCTCCTCCTTCTATTCATTCATGGTACTGTTCTTAATTAACTTTCCTTTGTGCCCCACACTACCCACTCTGACCCATGCCAACCTCAGCAGTAGCTGCTTTCTCTTTGCCTGTTGTGGGTGGTGTGTCCATGCTCTGATAAATACTTAACGTGTTATGGTCAAGCTATGCATAGCAAGGACTACACAGGTCTTCTTGTAAAGTGTAGGTTATTTTTTCCTGGGTGTAACTGAATTCTGAATTTGTGAATATGCTTTACTATATAAGATTTGAGGCTTTCACAGCAGTGACTATGAAGAAAGCAGTCTTCTGGGATTTGGCACCATGTATATGTGGTGTTAACCGACGTTTCGGAGGAACGTATCGCCCCCATCTTCAGGGTAGAAGGAAAAATATATGAAATCTGCAAGCAAAGAGACCGTGTATATTTCCAACACCAGTCTGCTTTTACCGGTTCTCACGATCTCTTCGGCTGTGTATATTTCCAACACCAGTCTGCTTTTACCGGTTCTCACGGTCTCTTCGCTTGCGGATTTCTTATATTTTTCCTTCTACCCTGAAGATGGGGGCGATACGTTCCTCCGAAACGTCGGTTAACACCACATATACACGGTGCCAAATCCCAGAAGACTGCTTTCTTCATGCTTTACTATAATTCACAAATATCCAGTTTCATGAAAATCTGTACAGGGATTCTTGACGTTTTTACATGGAAGGCAGACTGCTGGAACAAATTTAATAGGCACTCAACAGGGTTTCAAACAAGCACAAAACACATATATTCTGTAAGAAAAAAATTATTGCAAGGATTAAAGTAAACAGAAGTCACATTTCACTCACTTGATTACATGGGGAAGCCTTATGAGTTGTTGCTGAATGTGAGAAACATAAATTCTGCTTCATTAACAACTGTATGTCTAATGTATTATTATTGTTGTTGTTATTATTAGTATAATTACATTCATCTTTATATTCATTCATGGTGTTGTCTTTATTGAACTTGCCTTTGTGGCCCCACATAGCCCACTCTGGCCTATGATGACCTCTGTGGCAGCTGCTTCCTCGTTGCCCATTGTGGGGTGGCGCGTCATTGCAAAGGGATTTTCTATATTTGCCAAGTGTGTCTGTATAGTAGTGATCATGAAAATGTGAACCTAACAGTAAACAAGGCTTCTAATATATCAACACAGGGAGGAACAACCTTAGTTTCCTCACACACTTGGAGCACTACTGGGTACACCACATCCCACTGACCTTTTTAGGGGTCTTCAAGAAGAGTGCTAATCATAATTTTACAACCAGAACCCTCCTGATATTTGTCAGACCTAACCATGCAGATCCAAAGGCCTAACCTATACCTAGCCATGGTATACAGTATGTGCATTCCTCCTGCCCATTATTTATTATTATTATTATTATTACTGGAGGGGGTGGGTATCCCCATGCACCGCAACCAGTGGTCTATTGTACGTCAGCATGATATTCTACGAGTCTCTATACCCTACAGATACTGGTGCGTGCCATCAGTCCCGACTCAGCCAGCGAGTTCGGCCTCTACTGGCTCAGTGGTATCTAGATGCTTCCCCCATCTACCAGAGGCATTAGAGACTATTGTTGGGCGGGAAATGTCCTTAATAATTTGGCTCAGAGGCCTCCTTGAGACATGAGGTTCTTTTACGTGCCGTAAAGCTACGACACAGGACCCACGGCTTAAAGTCCCTCCCGGAGGACTTGTTCCCTGAATTTTTCCGCCCTTAAAAATTCCACGACCTCCACCGGGTTTGAACCCACGTACCTTGAGTCATGAGGTGGGAACGTTACCCCTAGACTATGAAGGCCGCTTTCCTCCTGCCCATAATTTCTGCATATGAAACTTTCTGCGGGCCCAAAACATGTAGTTGCTGTATTAGTGAATTGTGGCCAGTCAACAACCCTGTCCAGCAGGTAAAAATTTGAGATTTTTCTTAAATTCCTAAGCAGTACTTTATATATTAATACTTACGTGAGTGCTTGGGAAAGAAGTGATGATGTCATTTTTCCTTGCAACCCAGCATCACAGTTTAGAGAACAACGTCTCACACCACTCAGTCCATTATTTGCAGGATGTAATGATGCACTGTGAGTATGTGAGGTTCTGCTTGTAAATATTTCTGAATTCTCTGCTGCAGATGTCTCTGACGGGACATGTGACACACTGTACATGTTGTCACTAACGCCACATGGATGGGTAACTGTACTCCTCTGTTTCTCATTATGTTCCTCATCCTGCACCTGCTGACAGTCCACACAACCAGAACGATGCTTACCACAGCAGTTCCCTTGCAGTTTCTCTGTCATCTTTGGCTCAGGTATTTTACACTGGTTGAAATTACTTAAATTCTCCAAAGGCATTATGCTGATCTAGAAAATTAACAACTGAATTAACTTCAAACACAAAGAAATCTGCATGTGTGCAAATTTAATAAAGAAATGTATTTGTGGATTATTTTATGATGCTGTCTGTATGTAGGCTACACAGCATCAAATGAGAGAATGACTGGCGAGTGCTAGAGAGAACCTGGGAAGGAAGCATTCATGGCCTAAATGAGGAACAAGCGCACAACAAATTGACAAAAAGCTTACCCTGTTTTAACTTGCTCATATATTGTTTACATTCACAACTACAAAAATTGCATAATATTGATCCATATTAGGGCAACCAAATTCAAGTAACTTAGTTTACATTTTATGGAATTTGCTTGATGATGACCTAAGTAAAGGTACAAACATGCAACATACACCTGCTTACAATAAACAAGAGACGCAATAACACCTATTTGTCTCCACCCTGAAGATATCCTTCTTCATGCTGTGTTGACAGTCCAATTCACATCACCACCACCATCTATACGGCTGCAGGCTTGAGTTTTCTGTCACGGCATACCCCCCTAGCCAAAGGATCCCATATTTTAGGCACCAGAGAGTAGCTTTTCACCCCACTTGCATCTCCAAGACTCCATGCTCTCACCAAAAAGTGTACCCAGGACCACTAACTGGGATGGAGACCGTATCACGGTGGGGATGGGGATTTCCTAGGGTTTTAATGACGAACCTACTGGCATCAGTGTGCTATGTTGAGACCCTTGTTAGCCTTCAGCCCCTCAGTAACCAATAACTAATAACTTCATGGAGCTGACCCTTTCCTGAGAAGCCACCAGTTGTGCAACTATTCAAGAACTTTTACAATGTATGGAAAATGAAAGTTCATTACCGTGTTCACAAGAACACTCCACTGGTTCCTGTACTGAGCCAGATCAATCCAGTCCATACCACCTCATCCTATGTCTCTTAAGATCCGTTTTAATACTGAGCCGTTCTAAGGTTTAGCTCGCTCACATATGATGTCATCATATTTCCCTTGATGGATTCCATCCCCACTATGCAGTATCCTGACGTCAGTCACGTGGTCCCATGTACCCTCTCGTGAAGGGGAGAATTGTACAGTGCAGTCGTGTAGACCAAGTTGACTTGGAAGGTCGGTTACTAGCCAGCAGGTTTGTTGTGGAAAATATTGGTTTCGGCTGGGGCTGTTCTAAATTCCCCTTTGGTGCTATCTGGCTGGCCGGTAAGGACTGCCCGCGGTCGCAAGCCATTGCTTGAACGCTTGCGACGCGCGTTATTAGATTTGGTTTGGTATTTTTTTTTTCCCCCAGAATTTAGACTTGCGTTTGTATGGCCGGAGTGCTTAACTCCTGATATCTCTAGTGTCGACACAAGTGGTGCCGACGGGAAATTGTTTTGTTCTAAATGAGCTTGTATTAATTACTTTCTTGGTCAAATGTGTCGTTTGTTATTTATGTATTGTTATATATTTTTTTTATTAAAATTGTATTTGTTTTTATCTAAGCCAACGAACTGAGTCTAGCTTCCTCCTCCTAGCTTGGATACCCCATCTCCATCTAGGGGAGCGTGGGAACCAACAATAGGGCCAGTAACGATTGCGCTGTGTCCTTCCTCTTCGTAATAATAATAATATAATAGTAATCAGCGGAGAGGAAGACGAAGGGCGCGGTGCAATACTATCACTCTTCTATGTCTTGGTCTAATGAGGAGTTTTGTAACTTGTACTCTTCTCCAAGTATAATTTGAATGATCAAGTCAAGGAGGATGAGATGGGCTGAGCATGTAGCATGAATAGGGGAGAAGAGGAATGCATAAAAGACATTGGTGGCAAAGCCAAAAGGAAAGAGACCACTGGGAAGACCAAGGCGTAGGTGGGTAGACAATATTAAAATGGATCTTAGAGAGACAGGACAGGATGGTATGGTATGGATTGGATTGATCTGGATCAGGATACAGACCAGTGGAGGGCCCTTGTGAAGATGGTAATGGACCTTCAGGTTCCATAAAATGCTGGGAAGTTCTTGAGTAGCCGCACAATCAGTGGCTTCTCAAGAAGGGCTCAGCTCCATGAGTGAGTGAAAGATGTCTTGGTCTTCCTAGTGGTCTCTTTCTTTCTGGCTTTCCTGCCAATATTCTACATACTTTCCTCTTCTCCTCCATTCGTGGTACATGCCCTGTTCATCTCACTGAATTGATCATTCTAACTCTATTTGGCAAAGAGTACAAGTTATGAAGCTCCTCATTATGCAGTTTTCTCCAACCTCCTGTCATTTCATGTCTCTTTGGCCCAAATATTCTCCTCAGAACCCTGTTCTCAAACATCCACAGACACAGCATGCACGTAAACTACACAACTAACAATAAGAACATACAACCAAGAGAAATAATCGACAGACACAGCATGCACGTAAACTACACAACTAACAATAAGAACATACAACCAAGAGAAATAATCGACATCTTCTACCATCCGGAGGAAAAAACAACATGACCCAATGTTGGTTCATGATTTTTAACATACAAAAGGTTTTTAATACAATTTCAAATACACAGGGAAGCTATTTTATGGAAAAGTGAACATCACATTGCATGTAGTGGGAAACCCCAATCGAATACCCAGCAAATATGCTTAAACGAAACATCATACGTAAATCTACACGTCAACGTGGCTGCATAGGGCAAACTGTGATATAGTGAGCACTATTCATAACCTAAGTGCATAATGTTAAAACATCTTATGTGACAGTGCTTCCTGCTCGTAGTGGTGCGCCTCTGAAGATGATTCTTTTGAATCGAAACATGTAAGGTGAATAAAAACTGAAGTGTTGTAAACCTGTATGTCATACTGGACTGAAAGTTATCTACTTTGTAATTGATAGTGTGACGGACCAGAATAAGACAAATCAAACTTATGGGCCTCCTTTAAAGTCAGAGACCAAGTTTCACACCCATATAAAACCATAAGCAAAATTATAGTTTTGTATAATCTAATATTGTGTTTTTAGACAGCAGACAAGAAGACAAAAGGTTGTGGACTGAATGGTAGCAAGCACTACCCAAATTCAGTTGCCTCTTAAATTTCCTCCTGAATCATGTTTTGATGTATTACTGTCATTCCCAAACATCTTAACCATGCCACATTTTTAAAAGATATGTTAGCTACCTTTACGCCATGATTTTGTCCTGCATTTTGGTGATGAGACAGCAACAAAATCTTACAATATATATTTAGATTTCTCTGTGTTTACTTCTACACCAATCTCATTACTGTCAATGAAAGTTTCTGTGTTTTTCTTTATCACATATGTGTTATCTCCCAGCAGATTCACATTATGGCATCTATATATTCTCCAGTAGATTCAAATCATCAGCAGAGACCAGCAGCTGAGGTCTCCCATTTAATTTCAGTCCCACCCAGTTTTCCTGGACCTTCCTAATGGCATATTCTAAAGCAAAGTCAAAAAGAAGTGACAATAAAGCATCTCCTTGTTTTATACCAATTTGGATAGGAAAATTACCAGACATTTTTACCTATACAGACTTTACCACATATTTCATTTAAACACATATGAATCAGTCTAACTCATTTTGTGGATAACCCAAACTCAATGAAAATACTGTACAATACTTTCCTCCTAAGTGAATCATAGGCTTTCTTGAAGTCTGTGAATAGCTCATGAACTGTCTCATTGTACTCCCATTTTTCCTCCAGCATTGAGGAACGCAAAGAATCTGATCAGTAGTTGATCTGTTATATGAAAACCCACATCGATGATCCCCAATAATTTCATATATGGACTTAACCTTGAGCAAAGGATATTGAATAAAATTCTGCATGAAGTTGGTAACAATGATATCCCACATTAATTACTACAGTCAGTTCTACCACCCTTCTTGTGAACTGGTACAAAAATAGACTCCTTTCACTGACAGTCACTAATACATGTCTAGTATTCTGAACAGAATACTACTACTTGGAAACTAAACCCTCTAGAACTGTTTTCTCTACCTCCTCCTAACTCACTTCCAACCAGTGCCAAAGTTAAGACTGCAAAGAACTATACCTCCATTCCCCTTTACATCTTTATGGTGTAGTGCATAATTAAGAACAGGGACAACTCTACGTTTACCTACAATCTTACAGGTAAAAAGAAGGTAAAGCTGTCCTTTTGCTTAATTAATTAAGCACTGGGCCACAAAGGCATATGGGGAATTGAATGTATGGATCCACATTTTTCTTGACCTTGGCACTAGTTGGAGGTGAGTGGTCAGCTTCTCGCCCCGGAAAACCTATAGACTTGAATTTGCAATATATTCAGTTTGAATGTCAGCAATTACTTTGACTGTATTATTTTGTAATTTTCCTTAGTCCATCCATGCAAATGCTAGTATAGTAAATTGATTAGGCTATGACCATTGCCTTCCAAATCCTTTTCAATTCATCATTCATCAATCATCATACCATTCAATACTATACAGATCAGATACTGACAGTGTTTAAAAAAACTCAGCCCAGTATACTAAACAACAAATGGAAATTTTTACTTTATATGGATGGTATTGTTAAAACCAAAAGCCTAAGACATACGATCTTATCTATATGTCAGACAGACTACAGGCATGGGTTCTTCTAAGTAAAATGTAAGAGAGGTTGGCTAACTGCAGTGGTAGGATGTGGGAACTTACTTTAATATGTCCCCTGCACAGCCCTGAAAAATCCGTAATACTGAACCATCCAGACACCAGTGGCATTCCATATAGTAAAACAGTTAAATCAACAGCTGCAAAACCCAAAAGTACATCTCTCACAGGGTCCTTGCAAGATCCATTTACACTCTGCCAAACTTTGAAGATCATACGTTCGCAGTTCTGCAAGATAAAATTATAGACAACAGATTAAAATTCAGGTATGCATCTACACTGATGCCAATCACAGTGGATGCAAGGTCTAAGGCATGAACCAGCTTTGTCCGCTCGAACACTGGTATCATGGGTTCGAATCCCACTTGAGGCATGGATGTCTGTGTGTTTCTTCTGTGTGTAGGTAGCATCTTTGCAATTGGCTGATCCCTCATCCAAGCTGTCCTATCAACTGTGTATAGATTAAGAAACAGAAAAAGCGGCAAATATTCACAAGGGTTGCAGAGCCATAGACAGACAGATTTACACTGATGTTAATTTATCAGAATGAAAAATAAATGTCATATTATATGTTGGAGAAATTATTTTATATGCCTGTAAGAAATTGGGTTTGAAAAGGATACAGATACTATGAAGTCTATCAAAATGCCACAAAACAAAAATTAATTACAGCGATAAAATGTAATTGAGGTTACTAATAAAATTAGGACAGGATAAACTGATGAGATTATTTTTATTTAACTGAGAGAATGTTTTTATCTGCTCTTCAAAACCCTGTAACTTAACTTTCTGAACACGACAACTAGATTGGCTCAGCATACTTGCATTAAAACAGCCACAGCCAAAAATTGCAACTCACTGTTAATAACTCAGAACAGCATTTATATCAATAGACTGCATATGTGTGATAAAGCAATGTTTTGAGGAAATAACATACTTTCATGACATCTACAGCTGTAGTTGTTTGAAGGTAAGCTAAGGAAGTATCATGTGCTTTACTGCACAACTGCATTTACTCTGAAGCAGCCAATAGTTCTATTGTGGAGGCTTAGCAGTCAAAGGGTTAAAAAGTCTTTTACTGAATATTTTCCATGGATGTAAGACCTAATCTGTTACTATGAGGAAAGTACATAATCACAATTATGGTAAGTAACTTTAAAACAAAGTGCTCATGAAAATATCAGGAACCAAGAGGGAAGAAATGTGGGAAGGCAGTATTTTGAAAATGAGGAATTTCCATGTTTAGTGGCAGAGTCTTGTGTTAGATTTACCAGCAATATAATTGCTGAGGTACATAGCTGCTGATGCACTGGAACTTCATAGTTTAATACCTGAGAGCAATGTGGTTAGTTTCTATATGGAAAATAATTCAACGTTTAATTTCCATATAGCATCATGCTGGTCTTGATGATGACCTCATTACCACAATCATGACAATGGCAATTACATAAAAGGGAAAATGTACTGTAATTTAAAATTTGAACTTTCTTACAGTGTTACACTATGCAATAAATGTAATACTGAGTAGGCTGGGTAGCAATAGTGCTCTAGACTCATATCTGGGACCTGCAAATAAAACACAAACTTCTGTGAACACATAATTGTCTCCTTCCTTTGATATGACATGAGCCACATAGAGAATATAAAAATTAGAAGGCAACAAACAGACACACAGACAGCCAAGTTATCTAATAAGCCTTCTAAGAAAAATTTGGGGTGGGGGGATATAGAGATAGACACCAAGGTGACTTCATAAGCCTACTAAGCCTATAAAATGGGGGGGGAGGGTTAAACAGACAGATGGACAGACAGAGAAAGATACATAGACAGACATGAAGGAGGTCTCATAAGTCTCCTTTTACTTTTTCAAAAGAAGTAGGCTAAAAATCATATGTTGAGGGTTAAAAACTGTTTCAATCTCAGTAAATTTTGCATGACAATAATGAACTTCATAGAGCTGGGCCCTTTTTTAGAAGCTGCCAGTCATGCAGCTACTAGCATTTTATGGAACACAAAGGTTCATAACTGTGTTCACAAGAGCCCTCCACTGGTGCCTATCCTAAGCCAGATGAATCCAGTCCATACCACCCAATCTTATCTCTCACAGATCCATTTTAATATTGTCACTCACCTACGTCTTGGTCTTCCTAGTGGTCCCTTTCCTTCTGGTTTTCCCACCAATATCCTACATGCATTCCTCTTCTCCCCATTGGTGCTACATGCCCCGCCCATCTCATTCTTCGTGACTTGGTCGTTCTAATTACATTTAGTGAAGAGTACAAGTTATGAAGCCCCTCATTATGAATTTCCCCCAGCCTCCTGTCATTTCATCTCTCTTCAGTCCAAATATTCTCTTCAGCACCTGTTATCAAACACCCTTAGTAGACAGGGAGGTCCAAAAAAATGTACTCACTCTTTGATAGTCAATATCTTTGGAACAAAATGACATGTAGTTATAATTCTTGCGCGGTAGTGTAATGTTTTCTCAACAGATGGCAAAGGTCACGAGTCACATGAGTGTCATGCCACGTGTGTGCTGCGAGCAGAAGACAGCAGCAACAATGGCTGAAAGTTTGTTCTTTGAGCAACGCAAGGGTGTATTGAAGTGGTACTGGAAGTACGAAAACATTAAACGACAATGGCAGAATGAGTTTGGAACTCAGCCACCAACACGTCGAATAACTGTCCTAATTCGGGATAAATTTGAAGCCAAAGGTACTGTTCATGATTTGCATAAGCAAAGATCTGGGTGACCATGGATAGTAACAAGTCCAGCTTCCAGTGCTGCGGTGTTGCAACACTGGTCAGCTGTATCTCGATATGCTTCAGACATCGATCTTCCTTTCCATTTGAGAGCTGTTTGGAGATGAGAGATTTTACCTACAACAAGATGGTGCTCCACCTCACTACCATCGAGATGTCAAGGCGTACTTGGACGACACTCTACCTGGACGATGGATAGGTCGAAGAGGTGCTGCTGAGTACCCACCATGGTCTCCAGACCTAACATCTCTCGACTTCTACCTATGGGGAACTTTGAAGGATGAAGTTTATCGACAAAAAGCCAGCTACACTGAACGTACTACAAGAAACTATTGAAGCGTCGTGTGCAGCCATCACACCAGACACGCTGACAGCCATAGTTCCACAGCAGTTCGGCAGCATTGACGATGTTTAGACGCTGATGGTGGTCACTTTGAACACATACCACTCTCTCTCTCTCTGCACAAGAATTTTAACTACATGTCATTTTGTTCAAAAGATACTGACTATCAAAGAGTGAGTACATTTTTTTTGACCCCTCTGTATGTTCCACCCATAATGTCAGACACCAAATTTCACACCCATACAGAACCACAGACAGAGTTATAGTTCTGTATATTTTAATTTTTACATTTTAGACAGCAGACAAGAAGACAGAACATTCTGGCCTGAATGGTAACAAGCAGTACCAAAATTCAATCTTCTCTTTATTTCCTCCTGAATCAAATTTTGATTTATTATTGTCATTCCCAAATATTTGACCTGTGCCACATTTTTAAAGAAACTGTTAGCTACCTTTATGTCATGATTTTCCACTGCATTCTGGTGACAAAACAGCAACATATACTTAGTTTTCTCTGTGTTTCCTTCTAGACTAACCGCCTTACTAGTGTCAATCTTGTATGAATATTATAATGCTTAATTAAAGGACACTCACATTTGTTAGGAGATCTGAAGACAACCAAGTATCACAATGCCAGCACCATGATGGGTTGGCACTGTGTGATGCTAGTGGAGTGAACATCTGCAGCTCAGATTCATTGGCACTTCCCTGCTTAAGCAAGAAAGTAACATAGGTACTTGGCTCAGTTGCTTTTCCTGCTATTGCCTCATCCCCCTCATTCTGCCTGTAATACTGGAGATGCATGGCCCTCTCTATTTCTACATGAACATGAAAACTACTTTCAGGATCAGCCTCAGCAGATTTTGATGCTTCTAAATCATCCAACACTGAAACACACTGTTGCGCATCTGAAGCCCTGCTGTCGATTCCCAGAAAACTGTCTGCATTTAAATCAGTTCTCTCTGATTCAGAATAAGTTATTTTATTTGTACCTCCCCCAGTACCATCCTTTAAATAATTTATCAGTTTAAAAGGACCCTGAGATGATACTTCTGTACACTGAGAAGACAATTCCTTACTGCTCACTCCTTCATTTGTGTGTTCATTTTGTGAAAAACTGGGACTCTGTGAGTCACTCAATTCATCTGGCTGCACATTCAACACTTCAGTACTACTAACACAAGCTTCATAAATAATATCAAGTGGTAGATCAGAGAGTAATTCATAGGTTTCAGTGGACTTGGAGGTGTTCTGTAATGTCACTGTTTCAGAAGTGGTCACATCTAAGGTAGGTAAACCAGCTTGTGATTCCTGGTGCTTTGTACTGACTCTGGTTTTTGTTTCTTTATTTGAAGGCTTGACATTAATGATGTCATCAGTTTGCCAACCAGTGCCAGATTGCAAGGACTGATCACCTTTTGACTGTAATCTTGACTGCTTCACCTGCTGGCCCCTAGTGGATTGAGAGAAGTCTTTTGTTCCAGAGGAGCCCACATTGTGATTCTTCACCATTAGCTTATCTGCTGAATGCTGGAAGCTGTGGCCCTGTGGATATTGTTCTTTTCTGTTAACTGGATGTTTGAAAGCTAACGATGGCCTTTGATTTTGTATGGCACATGATTTCTGAACACTATGTTTTGCAGTTTTAGTATTTTGAAATGACAAATGTCTTTCCACATTATCAAACGAACTTTGCCAAAATTCTGTACACTGGCTGTTCACTTCATGTGATACCATTGGTGAATGAGGCAATGATTTTGTCAAGTCCCTTACATCTACTGTCTTGTCTCTACCAGGTTCTTGGGTGCCTAATGTAGGTACACTGTCGCTGTTATGGTAAGAACATTGCTGCAAAGATGCTGATGCATATGCATGATCATAAAACCTTTGTGGTAATTCCGAAATTACTGATGCACTATTATTGATGTGTCTTGCCTGAGATTTAGAGTTCCCTGAGAAAACTGGGGCATAATGGTTTACTATTGAGCATGGAAATGGTTCCACTGATGTGTGTTCTCCTACTGACGATGTCTGAATGCTGTGATTGTCACTGTAAGTTGCTGGCGTTGGTTCCATCAACATTTGTCCACCTAGGTGTGCTGTTTGGATACCATCGTTGCTGTCATGTGCTGTCGGCATAGGTACCATTGATGTGAGTTTTCCTGTAGATGTGGTTCGAACACCATCACTGCTGTTATCAAGACGAGTTACTTTCAGTAACCAAACTTGGTCCTCTGTGCCAAGGGCCAAGATTGCATGAAGCTGACCAGCTGGCAGCCTAGTCACTGGGTTGTAAACTGTTACCCATCCATCAACAGCAATTACAGGATACTGTGAAAAAAAGAAAATTAAAAAAAATATTTGTTCTCATAAGTTGATCTTCCTAGTAGACTAACATTATGGCAGCAAACCCTACAAGTTCAACATGTCTACTACCAAAGCCAGCCAATGGACATGAACCTGAGCCAGTTCCAACTACTTCTTATCCAAGCACATCTATCCAAGATCTATCACAACATTATTCTCCTATCTCCTGCTCAGTCTATCAAGTGGACATATTATAAGAGGGTCAGAAAACCTAAACTTTATGACAAACTTCGGGAAGATGCATGCTATAGCTCCATTGGTATAGCGACGGGCTATGGGCTGGATGGCTGAAGTCTGAATCCCAGCAGGGGCAAGAGATTTTTCCTTACTTTACCTTTACTCCACACCAGCTCTGGAGCCCATCCAGTCTCCTATTCAACAGGTACCAGGGGCTCTTTACCCAGGAGTAAAGCAACTGGGGCATGAAGCTGGGCACTCACCTCTATGCACTGCCGAGGTCAAGAATGGTGGAGCTATACCTTCACTCCCCTATGTCTTCATGGCATGGCACTTTATTAGTTAGGCACAGGAACAAATTTACATTTTCCTTTATGAACAACTTGTATCACTTGCAATATCTAACACTGGGTTCAAGATTCGAACCAAGAACCTTCTGGTTACTCTGAGAGTTACTGAGTACAGTTAAGTTACCGGGAAATGACTAGTGGAGAGTGCAGCAGACTAAGGACACTGGTGTAACAGCAAATTGTAAAGTGTGAAAATCAGCGAGACCACTGCAATTGTCTGTAGTTTCAAGTTGAGTGCATAAGTGTGATAAATTCATTCACCAATCCCAACCCCGTCTAATAGTGACACATGACAATATTAATAAAAAATATCATTGCCAAGACAGCTGGATCTGAGATTGGGTATCTTCGCATCTCAAGATCATCTCACTTGCTAAATCACCTGCTAAGGTGAACAGACTACCATTTCTGATTATAATGAAACTAATTATGGAACAGTGCATTCCTCTAACAGTTCACTATTATTCAGACAATCAAGAAATTTTCAAAAGACTACAGCCTTCTGTCACTCACGTGCGAGCTCTAACTCTGCAAAGAAATTTCTTGGTTATACTGGGCGTCAAATGTTTGTCATACTCAACACAGAAGAACCATCATTGCACCATATTCTGTAGTAGCTCAATCCCCTGTCAATATACCTCCATTCCTTTAAGATCCAGTTTAATGATCTCCACGTATGCTTCGATCCTGCTGTATTCTTAAACAGCTGAATATTACGAGTATCATAACGTTAACATGTCCAAATGAACTGCTTGCAGCAAACAGCCTGCACAGAACTCCAAAGAAATTCAATGTACTGTGCATTTAAAAAGAAAAAATCTGTGGAGTCCATCAACATCAGGACTATGGCTGTCATATTCATGTTTATGTTGGAAAAAATTTTAAAGATAACAAGACAGGTGAAGCACAGATTTTATGTCTTTTATGCAATTGGGACAAAGAGTAAAAAAGGTTAAAAAAAAAGTTCTGGAAACATTTCATAAATCAAGAATTTTAAAATTATCTAACAGCTGCCTATGACCAGCAGAAATAGGATGGACTGATTCAGCAGTTGTTTTTGATATCCGTATATTCAGTTATTACGGGAACTACATAAGATTGTCTACTGCTTCAGAACCTGAAATGTTATTTTAAGAAACTGCACTCAAGACAACAGTTCTTGGCATGCAGATCATGCCTCCTAAGTCTTGCCAAAATATTGGGATTCAAAAGAACTACCAGTTCAGTCTATTATTACTTAGTAAATGTTTGAAACTGGACATCCATTTGTAACATATTGTCATGTGTTTGAGTGACGACTATAGATGAGATTTCGATTGGTAATTGGATTTATTGAACACTTACAGATTGTAACTACAAGTAACTATAGGACTAACAGTAATTCACACTCAGCAATTCACTACAGCACGTACTAAGTCTTATCAGCCTCCTTTGTCTTCACCAGTTGTTGTTTGGTGGTGGCTTCCAATGCTGTAGCCTCCTCAGCTTCTGTGTTCTTACCCTAACAGGCTGGTGACTTCCTCACATCTACCTCCCAGGCTGGCAGCCATCTCACACCATCCTCCTACTACTCTTCTGATAGACTTCAAAAGACTAAACTATAGACTTTTCCTGCTTATAACACCTCGACGTGGACCACATAGAAAACACTGCTTCCAACTGTTCTTCTATTGCTGTGTCACACAGCTGACCCATGGACTGCATAGTGAATGCTTCTTCCCAGTTGGTCCATTGGTGCTTGTTAGGAATCTTGTTTCCTAGCATAGGGTGTTGTTTACAGAGTGATTATTTAGTAACAGGACTACACGCTACAGTATCAATGCTCTGTGTCTAAAACATCTATGATGGTGCATACTCATCATACGGTGATGTAGATCATCACATAATCATTAAAAAGATCACTTAATTGTGTTTTCAGCATGCGATGGAAACCAAAACTGCCACACTGTAGATCTCAATGAGCACATGGGACTTCTTTTCCTTAAGATTGCCTACTGAAGGTAAGGCATAACCTCAAAGATATTTTAGACAGAGTACAGAAAACCAACTGCCAAAACAAGATGCTTAAAATTATGTTCCATATCTGTCTAAACGTCACTGAACTTTATTGTGTTTATAAATAATTTTGATAACACCTAGAAAACCAGTCTACTGCAGTCATTTTTAAATCAAACACACAAAAAAGTTCTTTTATCCATATCTATAAATGTAAGTCTTCCACTATGCTTACAAAACAACACTGATAAACTGAGTGGGCTGGCATAGATAACAGGTGTTTGGTTTGAATCTCGGCTGGGACACTCTGTCCTGTGCACTAATGGAAGGAAGCAGTCATGACCTGATTGAGGTACTATCCTGCCACCTGCTTGGGAGGGTTGAGGAAACTCAAAAAACTGAGTCAGGATAGCTGGTGTCCAAGCTATGATCTGGACCAAACACCTCCTGAATGCAATTCAAGAGAGTTACCACTACGTCAAGCTATTCAGTTTCTTAGTTTTGTACATACATACACTCGGTGTTAATTTTTGGAATTATTTGCTCATAGAAACAATTAAAGTTCTTTAAAATATATCTGTTAAAATTCTCTTGCATTAAATTTAGTGGCACGGATGTTATGTGTGTTGTGGTGTTACTCAATTTCTCACACTGCAGAAATCACAGAAATAAGGCAGAATAATAAATGTATTTTGAAAATGAATTACATTGTAGTGTGTAGACCTGTTACTGGGTAAGGACCTCAAAACAAACAACAAAACAACATTTGCTGCTAGGCAACAGATTCTTAATAAGCAAGCATACACAGCTGTTACTGGGTAACGCCCTCACAAACAAACATGTTATAACCAAGATAAGTTTAGAAGTAAGGGAGTCTGTGAAGAGAAGACTTGGTCGGTGCAGCTCAAGAAAGCCCACTGTTAGAAGCCATTACCAGGGAACGACTGGTGAAGACACAGCAGACTGAAATGATTCGGCATTTGCTGTAATTATTTGTAAAGTGTGGAAATTAGTGATTGTGTTATAGTTACTTGTAGTGACGATCTGTAAATGGTTAATAAATCCAATCTCCAATCCAAACCCCATCTATAGTCACTCATACATACAAGAATATTAAAGTCAAGACCAAGACAAGAGCTTCAGGTTTATTCAGATATGGAATGTGAATATGCTAACCTTTGACAACAGAAGCTGAGCAGCAACAACAGGATCTCTATACGCAACAAAGAACTTGTTCAGAGGTAGTTTCGCAATCCCTATCAGTAAGTCACAATCTGCAGCAAACCTTCTTTCCCACAATTCCACGACCAGAACGTTATTCTGGCTGCGATCTAGGAAAGCTTTTGACATCAGAACTGGAATCAACTGGAAACAGAAACACTATATTCCATAAAATTACAGCAACACAAAAATAATTTATTTCTTTGAAAATAAGAGATGTAATATAAAAAGGCCTTTGATATGGCCCATTAAGAGCTGATGGAAATGGCTGCCTGCTTTACTGTAAACTACTGGCACAAGGAGATTATCTCAGAGAATGTTACAAATCATCATGCTGGTCCAGGGGAAGAACTCATGCTGGGAGCGTTTGGGCTTGCTGCAAAGCTGACAAATGTAGACCACCACAAACAAACCCCACATAAGAGCCACATATTGCCTCCATTTTCAGGGTCACAGAATAAGTCAAACAAGAAACCAACATGAAGCAGGTAGCAAACCCACCCAGAGCACATTTGCTAGAAGGATTCTTGTTCACATGCATTCCTGGCCCTGCAGACACATGTTGAAGTTCTTTTTTGGAAGCAAAGCAGATCTGAAACTCTAAACCCGGTCTCTGGTACAAGATACCAGAGGAATGTCTAAGGAGAATGTTCAAGCACAGCATAAATTTCATCCAATTTTTCTTCAGCAAGCAATTAGCACTATGATTTAGTTTTTTTTACAATAACGACTGTGTGTCTAAATTTATTTACGAGCGTATGAACAGTTCTGCTAGAAGTTGGTAGGTTGTAGGGTCGATTCCTGATGAGGTCACTGGATTTTTCAATTGACCTAATCCTTCCAGCCGCACTATGGCCCTGGGGTCGATGTAATAATCTGCAGTGCCTATGTTATCCGATCATGAAGTTCATGGATGGATGTGGGAAATGGTGGTAGATAAACGCCATCTTTAACGAACCCCCAAAGGAAAAAATCACACGGTGTAAGATCTAGTGAACGGGGTAGCCGAGGAAGAAGGTTGTTGTCTCCATTCACAGCAGCATGTCCAATCCAGCGCTGTGGAAGAACACAATTGAGAAATGCTTGTACATTCCTGTGAAAATGGAGGGGAGCTCTGTCCAGTTGTAGAATATAATCGTCATGATTGGTATTCAGTTGGGGTAACAACCAGCTTTCCAACATGTCCAAAAATGAGTCGCCAGTCACAGTTGCTTCAGTGAAGAAAAATGGGCCATGCACTTTCTTGCAGGACACCGCACAAGAAACGTTGACTTCTGGAGAGTCACGCTGGTGCTCTATCTGTGCATATGGTTGCTCGGTTCCCCAGATATGAACACTGTGTCTATTCCCCTTGCCACTGACGTGGAATGTGGCTGCATCGGAGATCAGTCTTTCTACGAACCCATCTTCCTCCATTTTCAACTGCAACTCCTGACAAAAGTCATGCCTTCTCACTCTGTCTGCTGGTTTAAGGGCCTACACCAATCACATCTTGCACGGTTTAAAACATAGCTGCTTATGCAAACACTTTCCACACCGTCATTTTTGGCATGACCAATTCCCTGCTCCCTCTATCCACCGACTTGCAGGGACTTCGCTGAAACGCCTCACACACTCTTTCAATGTTATCATCAGACACACAAGGCCGACCAGGACTCTTACCTTTACACAAGCATCCAGTTTCTACAACCTGTCAGTACCACCTGCTTATGTTATTCTTGTGTGGTGCGTCTTTTTAAAACCATGCATGAAACTCACACTGCACTGTAATCACAGATCTGAACAGTTCAAAATGGAGCACACAGAAAGCCTTCTCCTGCTGCGATGTCATCTTTGAAACTAGCCCTGCGGCCATGCAGTAAGCATGGGAAGAGGACCGCTGGCAGCACATGAGAAACTTGCAGAATTGCCGCTGCTGCTGGTGTAGGCTGTGCCCGTGTAAGGCAAGAGATAATTTTTTATTAACTTTCAAAACCACATCATTCTTTTGTGTATACCCTGTAATTCCCATGTGGCATTTTGAAACAAGCAGTGTCATCACTGATAAAAAGTTTAACACAGGAACAGGGAATTGGGGCTATAGTTAATCTAGACATATTACACAAGCTTGCTTCATAGTAGCTATTCAATGACTTACTGGGGTGATACTGAAGAGAAACTGTCATGCTTATAGGCTATTTAGCTTGCTGACTATGCCACAAGTCCAACTGTGTGCAGTAAAGTTGACACAACTAAGGCATCACACTGACAGACAGATATACACATATTTCAATATTGTATGGTCTTCCCCCCACACTGGACCTGACAATGGAGGTGGAGAACAGTTCAGTTCAGTTCAGTTCAGTTCAACAATAACATGATTGATCTTCTGAGAAGATTTTAATAGTTCCCAATACATTAAATTTATCAAATAAATAGACAATATTTCATATTGAATTTGTAGTGTCATTTATAAACTCCTTATAATTCCACAAACGGAAACAACTGACAGGTTCTACATCTTACATTCAGTGGGCAAACAGAGGCCAAGAGCCAGTGTAAAAGGTATATGGACAGCTAAATACAGATTTCACAAAGCCAGCATGTCACTGTTTTACATTCAAAAGTTACAAGATCTACAATATATAATTTCAGAAGCCTACATCAGGTGGCACAAGTGTTGCTACAACCTCATAAATATGTCCAACAAATCATTATTATCAAAGGCACAAAGTTTGAAAAGTACAAGTGGATAAGGAGGCCTGTACTGACATAATGCTCAAACCCAGTTTCACATATATTTACTAATTGGGTCAAGTACAGATATGATGATACCACACTAAAAAGCAATCTGCTGTTTGCCTATCTGCAGTTTAACACCAAGGTTAACTACAAAATAGCATGACCCTAAACTTGTGAATTTGCAAATAACAATTACTTACACTTGGCAAGGCTTACAGTACCTCATGGAAATTATAACGTGGATTTCCTGTCATGCAACAGATGTCACTGGTTATAATATCATCTTTCCAAAATGCTCGACAGACAAGGTAAGAATTTAAGCCATCAAAACCTTGGCCTTCTGAGATGTGCAGTAGGCTATGGAGGAGGACAGGCTGTAACAACAAGCATATGGCATTATACAATACATTCTCAATGGCTGAGGAAACCTGGCAATACCATAGAGTGGACACAACATTTCTTACAGAGTGCTGCTGTAACTGCCAACAGCTGAACGAGTCATTAGCGCTGATAAACGCGTGCTGTTAGGTGGTCTGATCTTGTCACTGCAGTAAGTCGCATTATTAGTCAGTCTTAGAGGTGTCAATAGGCAGTCAACATTTATACTGAAACAAAGTTCACTACTGAACAGCATGTGTTCATTCTCGAAACTTTTGCAAAGAAAAAACTTACAGAAAATGTATCCATAAGTTTCATCATAAATATCCTGACTCACCAGTTCCCACAAAGTTGTGTATAACCAAGCTTGTGAAAAAGTGTCAGGCCACAGGTTCAGTGTGTGACATAAAGAAGCAATCGAAGAGGATTGTGCTGACTGAAGAAAAGATTCAGGATATTGAGGCATGATTACAGATCAGTTCTCGAAAATTGTTAAAATGCTTAGCACAGGAAACTGATGTTTCCCTAGGATCTGCTATCACAGCCACAAAATTAATAAAATTTGGCCCATATAAAATAAGAGTTGTGCATGAGCTGAAAAAAAAAGATTTTGCAGCACGAATTCGTTTTTGCAACTGCCTGCTGCAGAATGTGCATGATGGAATCATGGCTCCACACCTTCTGTTCATGACTAATGAAGCATGGTTTTACGTTAGTGGCCATGTCAATGCACAAAATGTAAGAATATGGAGTGATGAAAATCCTCACACTGTACTATACAGCCAAGTGCCATTACATAATGGAAAGGTGGGGCTGTGGTGTGCTGTAAGTCTGCAGCGAATCATTTGTTCCTTATTTTTTCACAAAACTGTGAACTCTGACCACTACGTTAATGATATACTGAATCCGTTCTTCAATCAGCTGACTGCTGAAGAAAGACAATATGGGTATTTTCAGCAAGACAACACTACAGCACATATGGCTAATGCAACCATGGTCACAATACGGGAAGTGTTTGAAGACAGAATAATCAGCAGGGGACTGTGGCCTCCCAGATTCCCAGATCTCAGTTTTTGCGATTTCTAACTTCAGGGAAACCTAGAGGCAAAAGTCTACAAGAATAATCCTAGCGCCACTGAAGTTCTGCAGAATGAAATACACGTAATATGCGTAATTCGTTCAATTACCATGGACCAACTTCAGAAAGTGGAGCATAATTTATTTATGTGATGCGAGGCATGTTTGCAAGCAGAAGGGGGTCATTTTCAGCACCTGTTATAAAGCAGGGTAAGTTTGTATTATCTTTTTACAGTATTCTTATAAATGTGTGTATGTAGAGAACCTGATGTGAGGGAATCAGCAATACGACTGCACTCTCAATAGCACGAAAGGGCACAACGAGAGTGTGCATGTTTATCAGCGCTAATGACTCATTCTGCTATTGGCAGATACAGCTGCAATTTGTGAGAAATGCTGTGTGCAAACCACACTGCTGCCGGGTTTCCTCGATCATTAAACACCCTGCTTGCTGTCTACATGCAACTTCTGTTAATATTCACTCATCTTCATCTCTTTGTTCTATACCACTACACGTTTCAGCCTAATTGGCCATCATCAGGTGTATAAGTTGTTGTGATGAAGGAATCAATCGCTCTGCTGTAATGTTCTGCTTTTCTTATGCAAATTCCTTGGACTATTCTAGGTTATATGCGATACACAGGTTTGGTTTGTGGTTTTATTGGTTTGTTGATTTTCTTTCATTCAGAGTGTGGTTGTTCTGAATATATTTGTAGGAGCACAAGCTTGCTGCTTGGTGGTCAGCTATCATAGTCATTCATGGCAAGCTATATATATATTGTAACGTGTTTCGTTACTGAAGACGCCGTAGAGATGGTTAATTGGTTTATTTAACAATCTACAAATAACGGCTACAATTAATTATCACACAGTTGCGGGGTTTCACACTTTATAACCCTAATCGCATTAATCTGTTAACACTGTTGCGGGGTTTCACGATTTATAACCCTATGCGCAAATCAGTTCACTCTGTGTTCAGTAGTCTACACGTTTACAGTAGGGGAGCTAGGTATCACTGTATCACACGCTCCCAATTACACAATCACACACACGTCCGGATCTTCTATCCGCGACGGCTGCTATACTCCAACTGTAGTCGGCTGACTGGAGAACTGTTGATAACACACTCGCTCGTCGACTACTTAACTCAGCGATGTCCACATTATAACTGTGTCAGGCGGCTGCTACAGTAGAACTCGATCGTAACGCACTGTGCAGCTCACTTATATAGCTGCAGTGCTTGCCTGTGGCGTAATGAGTGCCACGTCACAGTAGGACGTTGATTACGGTTACGTTAGCGTTGCGCGTTACGTCACCGCGTGACGTCACCGCGGAGGGGAGTGGCGGGGAGCGCTACGTTACCGTGGAGAGGAGGGGGGTTCTCAGTCGCGCAACATGTTACACTATTCCCTCCTTAAGGCTGTTCGTCCCGAATAGCCTAACGGTGCACCCCCGTTCCTTTTCCGTCCCATAGCTGTTCTTGCAGCATCTGGTCTCCGGCTGTTACAACGGCTCCCTTCTTAAGATCGAGCTCGTCTCGAGCGGTTTCCTTTTAGCTTGCCAGAAGATCCAGTCGTGTCCCATTCATCCATCACTTTCATTCTATGGCACATTCACTCTCAATGGGGAGGCCGGTTCTTCTATTTTACCGGCTCCTCTTCTGTGCCCTGCTTCTTTTTCCGTTTTGGAGGGGGTCGTCCCCTCCATAAGGTCCAGATTTTGTTTTGTCGTAATCCGACAGAATATCCGGCTATTTGCTTCGCAATTCTCCTGCCGAATATCTCGTAGAAAGTAGTCTCCCGAGTACTTCTCCCTCCTAGGTGTGATCGCTGTCCTGATCTACACCCTCCGATGGCGTTCTTGGTTTGGTCCTTCAATTGGTTGCTGACTCGTAGTCGCCGTTTCAGACCTTTGTCCTTTATGCCAGTGTTGCATTGAGGGTACTTCCAAGCTTTATCCTCCTCTGTATTCTTCGTTCCGGTGGCGGTCACTTCTTTCCGCTGGCATCCGAAGGTTCCCTGGGGAGTTTCCTTCTTGAAGGCAATTCTCCAACGTCGTGCCACTGTCGCGCGACGGGATGTCTTCCAGCAGATGGCAGCCAACTTCATCCGGGGTTCATGATCTCCTAGGGTCCAAGATTTCCTGAAGATGTTCCTCTTGCGCCATGCCACTCTTGCAGAGCGGGACACCCTCCTGCTGACGGCCAATTTATTCTGGGGTCCGCAATTTTCCCGCGTCGGGTTACTCATAATTCGTCGCTTGTTTCGGTCCCTACGCCTTTTCTTCTTCGGTTCTCCGTCCGGCATTACTTCGGCGTCTTGTATGGGTACCTCTTGTAAGTCAGCCGCCTCAGGTTTCCTGTTCGCTGAGGCCAGCTTTTCTCCTTCTGGACGTGCCTCTGTTTCTCGGCAGGCCATTGTCACTCTGACCGGTATCACTGTGGGGACCTCCTCTTGTTGTGCCGCCGCAGGTTTCGTTTTCACTGAGGCCGGCTTTCCTTCTTGTAGACGTGCCTCTATCTCTTGACAGGCCGTCATCTCATTATGGTTGGCATTCACCCTTTTGACGGTGAGTGGATAGTGTGGGGGCCTTAATGCATATGCCGGCGTTCGCCCTCCTTCGCCGGCTGTCGTTTGTTTCCCAATGGTTGGGTACCCTTCCTGTTCGTAGGGGCAGTTATTCGCGAAGTGGCCCAGTTTTCCACAACTCCAGCACCCTGATTGTCTTCCGTCTCCTCGATGGGTGGGGGACGATCGGTACTTCCGGTATGTCTTGGTGCTACATTCGAG